GTCCTTAAAGATATAACCCAGGGATTTACAGATTGTTCTCAAAACTAAAATTAGTTTGAGGACTACTGCTGTGCTATAGCACATTTTAGGTCGACTTTTTCTGAAGTCTCCATGAAAATCTGAGATGGCAAACTGGCTAAAATACGCAAGTAGGTTCAGTAGATCCCAAACAACCAAATACTTACAGTAGCTGTAAGGAAAACAGTCCTTCAAATAAACTTTTTGGGAGTTCCGTGATTTTATTTCCATAGAGGACACTGAAAAAAATGTTTTAAATGAAAAAATCAGATATCACATCTGAACAACAAACTCATCTAATACATATGTATTCAGGTGTAGAGAAGGTCAGTAGGCATTTAATATATCATAAAAGTTACAGTCGAGTAAACAAACTTCATTTGCAAATGTCTTTTGCCTAATTACAGATCATATGCAAGCTTACTGTAGAAAATTGAAAAACAGAGCAAAACAAAGACTAACAAATGTTAATAAAATTCACAGTTTAATTGCCTTTTCACAGAAATGTCCTCTGGTAAATTGTTATGTTTTTCTGGTAAATTGTTATGTTTTTCTGTATGCATACATATACACACACACATGCATGCACACGCAGTTCATAGATAAGGAGAACACACTACATATATAACAAAGAAGAACACTAAATGTACAATCCATTAGTCATTAAAAGAGTGAGTTTTGAGCTGATAATATTGGTAAATAGTGGAAAGAACCCTTATAAGGGTATGGCTTTTCTTTTAAATATAAAATATGTATGCTTGAGAAATGTAAGATCCATGAAGATAGTGATCATGAATATGAATGTAGGAGAATTTTTGAAATTTATATTCCCCCAAAGAATTATGAACTGGAAAGAAATGTCATGGTACCCACCTCTGATCAGACACTAAGTGTAGCCACAAAGGGCAAAAACCATGACTTAAACACGTCAGTACACCTGATGGTGCTTAGCAGAGGTTTTAGCATACAGTGAGGTTCTAACATTGATGAGTGAAATGATAATAAATTAGCAGAGGAATAAATTAAAAAATACATTAACAAAAGGAGTGAAGCAAGGGGATTTCAAGAGCAAGTGAACAGAAATGGTTGACTGATTATGTCAGTTGTTAACAATAGATCTGCAAGGATGCCCAGCTATTTTTTGCTCCCAAAAGTAGGATACCAGAACTACGTATAGGAAAAGACAGAAATTATTTGATGGGACATTTTGGCAACATATACTAAAAGTCATAAAGACACTTATATAAAATTTAACTTAGTGATTATTATTAAAAAATAATCAGAGACAAACACAATATTTTAAATACAAAATGTTAATCATGCATAATTTGTAATAGTGAAAATTTAAACACAAATAAAATGTGTTTTTACATTTTATCCCTGAATAGAGGACTGGTTAAATTCATATTTCACATTGATAAAAATCAAGTTTGGAAGAATATTTGATACATGAAAGTGCTCATGACATAACACTGAGGTAAATAAAAGCAAAGTAGTACATAACAGTATTATGTTAATTTTGTTTGGAAAATATATGAGTATATGTACATACATAGAAAAGAAGTGAAAAAAATATCTGAATGGCAGATGATTTGCTAACCAGATGTATTTAAATCTATATATTTTTTCTGTATATTTATATTCTCTACAATAAGCATGCATTACTTTCAAAAATCAGATGTTCTTTTGAAAAAGAAGCAGATGAATATCATAACATAAAGGAAAAGGCTGAAATGAAAATCCACATAATATGTTTGGCAGCAAAACATGATTTCTGTTTGAAAGGGAAGAAAATAACAACACTAGAAAGATGAATAAGAGTGAAGGAAAAGCTGTTCCCCTTTTAAGATGTCAAAGAGAGGTGGGATATATTACAAAATATGAAAACAATTTTCAAGGGAATAAACAAAGCTGGGTGCTACGTTGTATTAAGAGACATTCCATTTGTCTCTTTAGACTCCAGAGATATAGCTATATACTACAACATAAAATTTCATTTGTACAGAATATAGATTTTTTTAGAAAGGTAAATCAATTAGAGAAAAACAATATAAAAAGTCAAAGAATGAAAGAGAGAATTCAGTGCTGTCAGGGACAAGATGAGAAGGGAATTAAAAAAGGGTAAAACATGAATTGATACATGATTTGAGGTCAAGAATAGGTGAAGAGAGGACATTAGGAAACACAAATGAGCAGATTAAGATGGCACCAATTCAGGATATTCAATTCAATATCATTCAATTAATTCATTCAAAAATTGATATCATACAGTCTTATGTTCCAGCAACTTTGCTAGGTTCTAAGTTTGGTGCCTAGTTAAATTGAATCCAACATTACTTTTTAAATATCTATCATTTGCTGACATGCCACACACATATGGCTGAGATGAACAAGGCATGGCTTCAAACAGCAATCTATAAGAGTGATTTTGAACACTGAAATTTCATATTTTGAATCCATTGAGATTTAGAAAGGAACAAAGGTGCATATAAATTGTGGGGGACCCACATAAGAATCAAGGGGTGATTAACTTAGTAAGTTGTTTATTTGGGGCTTTTGCTTCAAAGGTTGGCTCAAATAGCATGAAAGGAGGACTGGCTAGGAGGGGAAACTATTTTTCATCCAACAAATCGTTGTTTTAAGACCATGATAAAAAAATAACCCATATTTATTGTTAATGAGACATGGGTAAATGTTGAAAAAAGGAGGAAATCACGCAAGGATGGAGGAAATCTATCTGTACAGGCATTATTGGTGTATGGACTATTAATCATGAAAATATTATAATAAAGAAATATACTAAGTGTAATGGGAATGAGATTTTTTTTTTGACAAATGTATATAGCAATACTAGGACTGGGTAGTTTTTTACACAGCAATGAGATCAAAATGACAGCAAGGAAAATGAGGTAAAAATATCAAAAATCCAAAGACCAGGACAGAGAAATTGGATGACAGTCAAGAAAATAGAGCCAAAATCTATAAAAATGAGAGAAAGACATACCATCATATAAGACATAAAGTGCAAGAAGGCCAGTGAGAATTTGTGCTACACTCTTAAGAGGGGAAGAAAATTTAAAAAGAAACTGAAAGATGAAAATGAATTCAGCTGAAAAGAAAATAAATACATGAGGGATTTGGATAATATCATCCAAATACCAGGAATGACAAATTGGGTAGCATCTCAAAAGGCTTACATTCAGCATACAGTATACAATCATGCTGACAAATAATTTTTTTTTTATCGCTTTTTGGAACAATAGGGAAATCTTAAGGCAGCTCTTGCACCTGATACCAGAAGGGAGGCTGAGAATACTAAACCCAGTTTAAGCCTTGTGAGTTTTGACACTAGGACAGTAAGAGGCAGCAACTTCTGGTGGCCAGTCTTTGAATTCTCCTGCCCTTGTTCAAAGCTGGCAGAAGACAGAACTCCTACTGAAGAGAAAAAATGTCCAACATAGAAACCTGTAAGATGGTTATCATGAAAAAGGAGCCATGGGCAGATTTTATATTATTCAAATAAATGCCAAGAGAGATGAATTTATAAATAGAAACAATGTATATCTGAGAATTATAACGTAAAGCAATTTTTAAGAGAGTAGAGTAAAAAGAAAGTAATGAAAAAACAGATACTATATTTTCACTTTCACTGAAAACCTGAAGTAAAGTGCAAGATATTGGGCAGGAGAATTAACACCAGTCTAAGAAAAGATTGTGGAAATGTAAGTACAGCAAACGTCTTCCACTGTAGACCCCTGTGGACTATGGGAGCTAGTTAATGAAGAGAGGAAATTACAGTATGTCCACTAAAATATTTTGCAAGGGGTTAATGAAAAAAAATGGGAAAAGAGGAAAAGCCTATGCTGAGGATCTTGGGCATAAAGGCTCTCTAACATAATTAAAATCCAGGAACATACAAATTGATATATATCAGGAGAGAAATTTGCCATGGCCATATCTATTATCTCCTGAATGTTTAGGGTTTGGCAAAGCCAGTAGGAGAGTGATTTTATCCCCATTTTAGAGATGGGATAACTGAAACACTGAAATTAGTAACCAGCTTAGCCATGTACCTAATAAATGGTAGAGTCAGGATTTGAATACAAGCCATCTAACATCCTATGCTATATTGCTACAAATTTTATTTTATTAATGTAAAGGGAAATTTCCAAGTAATAAATAGAAAACAATAAAAACTGCTTGCAAATAATGCTAAATATATTACTATGCTGAATTAAGTTATTATTAAATATTAAAGAAATTTTGTTGATGTCACAGTGAGAGAAATAACAAGTCTTGAAGATGTAATGATTCAATGGATGCATGTGTTTTGAAGATATTTTGTTAATAATGTTATATATTATATAACAATATATTAACATATAATACTATAAGTATATACCATTATAATAACATGTAACAGAATAAACATTAATAAAAAGCAATAAGTATTAGTGCATTTAATAAGAGAAGTCTTAAAACACACCTGGCAAATCAAATCCAATTTTCTCTAAGTAATTAAATAACAATTCATTTGTTTTTGTTTTTTTTTTTTAAGTAAAATGCAATAAAGATATTTGGCATCATATTACCTTAAATATTTTCACTTTTTTAGAAAATATACTGATTAAATTAATTTGTCTCTGTACTGGTGTACAGTTCCAGAAAGGCATGGTATTGAAATAAAGTGTAAGAGAAACCTGTATAAGCAAAAACTTGATGTAAAAAAGAAGTGTTCCTACTTGCATGGCTCTTGTAATCATCTACACACTCCCAACTCACTCAGCCCCCCTCTGGAAGATTTTAACTCTGGACACTGTAAGCATGATTCTTTTCTAGCAAACCTAGAGATCACTGTATTTCTTCCCTCCATCCGCACAATAGTGTCCTTTGCTGTTACCAACAATCTCTTTATTATTTCAACTTCAAGTGTCCACTTCCCTCTAGTCACACTGATCCTTTTCTTGCTTATTTTTGAAACAATTGGCATCCTCTGGCCTCAGGCCTTAGTATTTAGCTGTTCCTCTGCCTCGAATGCTCTTTCTTCCTACACCTGCACTATCCATGCAGTTCATTCCCATAACTCGAATCTTCAGGTCTTTGTCCAATATCACCTTCCTGGGAGGCCTATGTTGATGTAATCACTCTATTTAAAATTTCAGCTCCCCTCCTACCACAGCATTCCTTATCCCTGTTATTTCTTTGTTTTTACTCATAGCACTTTTCATCACCGGGTACA